TTCCTGCGTTCCTCTGATCTACCTGGCTGAAAGCACAGTGCCCTGGTAAAAACTAGGCTCCTGCTCAGTTTTGAATTAACGAAGTTCAGTGACATTGCCATTCTTTTTTTTTTTTTTTGGGACAGGTGTCGCTCTGCTCGCCCGGCTGGAGGTGCAGTGCGCACGATCTCAGCTCACTGCAACCTCTGGCTTCCCATGTCCAAGGCAATTCTCCTGCCTCGCCTCCCAGTAACTTGGATTTCACGTGCAGCCACCAAGCCTGGGTAATTTTGGTATTTTTAGTAAGACAGGGTTTCACCTGTTGGCCAGGCTGGGTTTCAAACTCCTGAGCCTCAAGTGATCCGCCTGCGTGGCCTCCAAAGTGCTGGGATTACAAGCATGAGCCATCAGTCCGGCCTGTCATCCTATTTATCTCATCTCCTCCTCCTCCTCTTCCGACCACCGTTCTCTCAGAGTAGAAAGATCTTTGCTCTCAATTTTGGAAACACTTAAAATTCCTTCAGTACTATCTTGTTGGAAGATATAAGGGAGTCCCCTTTCTATGGCGCCAGTCCTGTGGTATCCGCACCTCTCCAGCTCCTGCACCCCCGGCCCCGTGGTTTCCAGCCGCACAATCGCGTGTCCTGAGTAGCGTGAGGACACGGGGCTGGGCAGGTGCTAGGAGCCCGCCGCCTCTCCTCCTCCCCCGCCCGCCGCCTGGCCCTTCCCTACCAGGCTGAGCCTCTGGGTGCCAGAAGCGCGGGGCCTCCGGGGGAATACGTGCGGTCCCTCGCTCCGCGTGCGCCTACGCCGTCTGCTCCAGTTACTTTACCAATTGAGCGGAAAAGCCGGGGCATGTTGCCGGGGCCCTGGGCGGGACTGTTGTGCACCTTCCCGCCCACGGGCTGCCCAGTCCCGCTGCTTGCGGCCCCTGCCAACGTCCCCCAGGTTGGAAACCAGACCCTGCAGCCCCCAGCCAGCCCGAAGGAAGCCTAGACTGACTTCGCAGGGTAATGGGGATCCAGAGGTAGCTCTGTGGGGCCCCATCAGAGCTTAGCAGGGCTTTCTGTGTGACACCGTGGGACCTGAACTGGGGAGGTCCCCTTTGCTTAGAATTACAGGGGGCAACTGTAGGAAACAATTACATCTATTATGTGCTAAGGATTGAGAGTTCTATGGATTGAGGCCCTCTCTAGAAGGCTTAGAAGTGGGGTAGACGGGGTGTGTGTCTGACTTTGTGTTTTGCTGGGGTGGTGGTGAGTGGGTGTAGAAACTAACCTAGTGCCAAGTGCAGTGTCTGTCAACTAGTAAGTTAATAAACCTTTCGTGAATGAATGAGAAGGTTCTGTGACTGAGGGAGCAGGGCTAGAGAGGGCATCTCTGCTCATCCCACCCCTGCCTCCCCTGGGCTCATGCAGACAAAAGTAATTAGGTTGAACCTTTAATCAAAGCTGGTTTCACAGGCAAGCAGACATGATAGAGGAGGTAAAGGCAGAAATCCTGGGGACACAGGGTGCTGGCCTGGCTCACAGGCATGCCTCCTTCTGGGACCTCCTCCACCCCCTGCAGTTTGGCGATCAGTAATCTCTTGTTTTCTTGTTTCCCTCAGGACACTGGGTCCCCTAGGAGCCTCCCCAGGCTTAATGATTGTCCAGGAGGTGGCTATAAAGGGAGCCTGGGAGGCTGGGTGGAGGAGGGAGCAGAAAAAATCCAACTCAGCAGATCTGGGAACTGTGAGAGTGGCAAGCAGAAGCTGTGGTCAAAGGCTGTGCGTCTTGGCTGGTAGGGCCTGCTCTTTTCTACCATGGCAGCCCAGGGCTATGGCTATTACCGCACTGTGATCTTCTCGGCCATGTTTGGGGGCTACAGCCTGTATTACTTCAATCGCAAGACCTTCTCCTTTGTCATGCCATCAGTGGTGGAAGAGATCCCTTTGGACAAGGATGATTTGGGTGAGCCCTGAAACAGCAGGGTGGTGGGCCTGGGGACACAGAACCAGCAGGACACACTGGGTGTTTGTGTACGGGCATGTCGTGTGGGTGGAGTGTCTGTGCAGTAGAGGCCAGGTGCCAGAAAAAGAGGCTCTGAGATCCATGGATGTGGGTGCATGCAGGGCTGAGGAGGGCTGCTTATTTGATGTGTGTGGATGTGTGTGCGCATGCCCCTGGAGGCACTGTTTATTCTGAGAGTGTCTGGGGGCTTCTGAGCATGGTTTTCACATCTGTTTGGGTGCATGTGGAGGCTTCAGGGTGAGTGCTGGCTACTGACACTGTGAGCACTGGAAACTAAAAAGTTGGCACAATGACTTCATGTGGCCTGGCATGCTACCCTTCAGGAGGGACAGGGTCCCTGACTCCAATCCTGAGCCCTTCGACCCATGTTGGGTGGTGGAGCAACAGAACTGCTAGAGGCCCGGGGTTGGCATCCAGGGTGAGGTGGGAAATCCCATATGCAAATCCCAGGGATGGGGAGCTGCCATGTCCTGCTCCCTTTTTGTTCCCTGACAACTGTAGCTGAGACTCATGGGTCAGTCTGGGGCTAGTGCTGATGGTGAGGCAGGAGAAGTGGCAGAAGTAGTAGGGCCCCATGTGTGAGTGTCCGATTGCAGTGCAGGCTCCTCCTGTTCCTCTGGGAAGTAACCTGGGCACCCCTACACACCTGACCCCATGCAATCTTCCATTGCTCCCGTGTTTCTCCCCTGGTCCCTAACCCCTAAGTGTACTGTTCCCTACTCCCCTCCCCTGCAGGGCTCATCACCAGCAGCCAGTCAGCAGCTTATGCTATCAGCAAGTTTGTCAGTGGAGTGCTGTCTGACCAGATGAGTGCTCGCTGGCTCTTCTCTTCTGGGCTGCTCCTGGTTGGCCTGGTCAACATATTCTTTTCCTGGAGCTCCACAGTACCTGTCTTTGCTGCCCTCTGGTTCCTTAATGGCCTGGCCCAGGGGCTGGGCTGGCCCCCATGTGGGAAGGTCCTGAGGAAGGTGAGTGTTTCCAAAGAGCCTGTTTGGATTGTCATAGAGGATGCCTAAAGAGAATGTGGGAGCGCCCCTTCTTACCCACCACCTCCATACCCAACCCAGAGCAGGTTCCTGAGCAGTTCCTGGCCAGCTCCTATTGCTTGTCAAGATATTTTAGGAGGCTGAGAGTGGTGGGATCAGGTGGCAGAGGAGGGAACTGCCCTGCCAAACAGAAGCGCCCTCTCCCTCTTCCCTGTAATGTGAGCTTCTAGGGCTGCCCCACCTGACCCCACCCTCAACATGGGCAGTAGGCTGGACACCTATGTTGTTGCTCTCTGCCCCACAGTGGTTTGAGCCATCTCAGTTTGGCACTTGGTGGGCCATCCTGTCAACCAGCATGAACCTGGCTGGAGGGCTGGGCCCTATCCTGGCAACCGTCCTTGCCCAGAGCTACAGCTGGCGCACCACGCTGGCCCTGTCTGGGGCACTGTGTGTGGTTGTCTCCTTCCTCTGTCTTCTGCTCATCCACAATGAACCTGCTGATGTTGGACTCCGCAACCTGGACCCCACACCCTCTAAGGGCAAGAAGGGTAAGCCCCCACCCAAGCCAACCACTGGGGCACTCATTCAGCAGGCAGATTTTTGTTGAAGACTAGGCGTTTGCCTGGTCTTATGCTAGTCAGTGGATGTGGGGGAAGGAGTGGTAACGAAGGCTGCATGGGGAGTGAACAAAACTCCATCCCAAGAGGCAGTTAAATACTCGACAAGTGGCAGAGCCAGCAAGAGCTGTGACTCATGTTATTTTCTGGCCTTTCCTCACAACAGCACAGACTTCCCTGTCCTGGATAGATAGAATCATGAGCTTTAGTGGTTTGGGCCTGTTTGATCCTGTTTGTCTTTCATTCATTGAGCTTGGTCCTTAAGTGGCTTGGTCCTCCCTGGTCCTGTTTCTCTTTCATTCATTGAGCTTGCAGAGGAGAAGGGGAGAGGAGAGCAGTGGGGTGAGGGAATACCCTTCACGTTGATCCTGGCTGTGCAGATGGACTCTGCCCCTGTAGCTGGTTAATGAATGTTGGGGGCTCAGGTTGGGGAGAGCAGTCAGAGCCGAGCCTGACACCCAGCCTCTTCCTACCTCCAGGCTCCTTGAAGGAGGAGAGCACCCTACAGCAGCTGCTGCTGTCCCCTTACCTGTGGGTGCTCTCCACTGGTTACCTTGTGGTGTTTGGAGTAAAGACCTGCTGTACTGACTGGGGCCAGTTCTTCCTTATCCAGGAGAAAGGACAGTCAGCCCTTGTAGGTAAGATGAGCATGGGGACAAGGGTGGGCATAAGGAGCAGGAACCAATGCAGGGGATGGAAATTCAGGCCTTGCTTCTCTTTATCCTCTTTATTCGTTCTTTGAGGCCGGGCACTACTCAGGCAGCTATGGCCAGTCACCCATGGGAACCCTGTACCTCTCCAGGTTTAAGCCATTGTGGGACAACCCCAATGTGTAACACCCTCCCACCCTTCCCTTCCCTCTTCCTACCACAACTCCCCACTGCAGGTAGCTCCTACATGAGTGCCCTGGAAGTTGGGGGCCTTGTAGGCAGCATCGCAGCTGGCTACCTGTCAGACCGGGCCATGGCAAAGGTGAGCGGGCAGAAGGGACAGGAAGGAGAAGGGTCCCTTTCAGTCTTCACAGCATGGCTGGGACAGGCACTGGAGAGATGGGAGTCCCAGGGCACAGGCAGGTTGGCATCTGCTGGTTTAGACCGGGTGAGGAGGGAACGATTCCGGGCTGGTCTTAGCTTTCCTACAGTGGTGGAGGTAAGGCTCTTGGGAGAATTTTAACTGATGTGAAGGACAGCCAGAATATTTCTTAACTTAGCTATAGGTTTCTCCACAGCCCCAGGAAAATGGGCTGGGAACAGACTAGGTGCACTCCCCAGCACGTGTCCTAGACCTGCCCCATGGGGGAGGAAGGGATGTTGTGGAGTTTGGCCTCAGAATGTAATGAGCAGGTCCCAGGGCCTCCCAGAGCTGCCCAGGGCCAAGAACTGAGGTGGGATTGCCAAAGACCTGTCAGCAGAGTCCCTGCTGTATCAGAGTCCAGGGATGGGGGTTCTCTGCCCTGTTCTGAGGGTGTGACATTGCCGGGACTGTATCCATAGGCGGGACTGTCCATCTACGGGAACCCTCGCCATGGCCTGTTGCTGTTCATGATGGCTGGCATGACAGTGTCCATGTACCTCTTCCGGGTAACAGTGACCAGTGACTCCCCCAAGGTAATTAAGAAAGGCCTGGCTCACAGCAGGGCACAAGGAGAGAAGGCAAGGGCCACTGACTCTCTCTTCCTCTCCTGGCTGTAGCCTGGGCCAATCTTTTCTTTGCCTCTCAGATTCCCTTTTCAGTTCTGATTGGACCGTTCCTCTCTGTGTCTGGGTTCTCCTCCTCCACTCTGGGCCTGGTTTTCTTTTCTTCCCTGTGCTCCTCTAGGATGTTGCTTTCTGGACTCCGGCTCTTCACCCTCTCGCAGAGCTCACAGGCTTTACAGAGCATGAGGTGCCTTAAAGATATCTCTGGTTTTTCTCCTAGTCTGTCTTACCTTTGTCCTACCCCTTTGCCTTACCCCTAGCCAGTCCAATTTGTGTGAATCCTGAGGACAGCCTCTAGCTCGGAGGGATGACTTCTGTACCTCCTTTCCTTGCCCACCTAGGTCCCAGGGTTTGCTCAATGTGGCATCTGCTACTCTAGCTCTGTACTGTCAATTGTGTTGGGGAGTGGGAGGAAAAGGGTCACTTACTTACTGTCCCTTTATGACTCCCGTTTGTTCCTGGGGACCAAGCCTCCTTTCTCGCTTTGGCAGCGGTGGGCAGGCAGGTCAGCTTTCCAACTCTGAATGCCACTCCACTCTGCCCTTGGCAGCTCTGGATCCTGGTATTAGGAGCTGTATTTGGTTTCTCCTCGTATGGTCCCATTGCCCTGTTTGGAGTCATAGCCAACGAGAGTGCCCCTCCCAACTTGTGTGGCACCTCCCACGCCATTGTGGGACTCATGGCCAATGGTAAGTGTTACCTTCTAGAGTCTCTCCCTCACCCTCACCTGTGCTTTGCATATAAACCAGTGAGAAGCTGGAGCTAGCACCACTGGCTTAGGTTCATCCCCTTCCCCCTGACAGTGGGCGGCTTTCTGGCTGGGCTGCCCTTCAGCACCATTGCCAAGCACTACAGCTGGAGCACAGCCTTCTGGGTGGCTGAAGTGATGTGTGCAGCCAGCACAGCTGCCTTCTTCCTCCTACGAAACATCCGCACCAAGATGGGCCGAGTGTCCAAGAAGGCTGAGTGAAGAGTCCAGGTTCCAGAGCACCATCCCACGGTGGCCTTCCCCCTGCACGCTGTCTGGGGGAGAAAAGGCGGGGCCTGCTTGGCTAGCCCTGAACCTTTCACTTTCCATTTCTGCGCCTTTTCCCTCACCCAGGTGGCGCTGGAAGCTATCAGTGGCTAGTGAGGTCCCAGTTTCCCCGGTCCTATGCTCTATTTAAAAGATAACCTTTGGCCTTAGACTCCATTAGCTCCTATTTCCTGCCTTCAGACAAACAGAAAACTTCTGCAGTCAGGAAGCCTCCTGTACCCTTCTTCTTTTCCTAGGCCCCATCCTGTCCCCATCCTACCCCATCCCCACCTGAAGTGAGGCTATCCCTGCAGTTGCAGGGCACTAATGGCCCTTGACTTCTGCTGGGCCCTAAGTCCTCTCAGCAGTGGGCGACAGCTGTTGCCAATACCTCAGACTCCAGGGAAAGAGAGGCGGCTATCACTCTCACTGTACCACTAGGCGCAGTTGGGTATAGGTGGGAAGAAAAGATGACTTGTTATAGGAGATTAAAACTAGATTTGATACTGAACACTGTCAGTGATTCATTTTTTCAAAGTGAGACAGCTTCCTTGGGAAATACTGTTGATACCTGCTCTTGCCACCTCAAAAGGGAAAGACTTCATTTCCCTGGAATCGGGAAGCTGAAGTGTAGATGGACTCCTTTAAAGCTCATGCCTCCTCTGCCTTCACCTGAACATTGAATAGTTCAATGACTATTTTAGAGATAAAGCTATTGGGTTGTGGACAGGTTAAATAACTTGATGGAGGGAGGAAGTGTAAGAGTGGTTTACTGAGTGTGTAGTCAGAAAGCCTAGGTTCAAACCCATACTGTCAGTAACTAGCTTGGAAACTTTGAGGCAGAAAGTCTGCTAAATCTGTAACAGAACGTACCCCCTGGACTTAGGGTGAAGATCAAGTGAGATAAAGCAGGAATGCCTGACTGTAAGTGCTTGATATATGTTCCACCATCATCATCATTTATTTTTATTTATTTATTTTTTTGAGACAGAGTCTCGCTCTGTCGCCCAGGCTGGAGTGCAGTGGCGCAATCCCGGCTCACTGCAAGCTCCGCCTCCCGGGTTCACACCATTCTCCTGCCTCAGCCTCTGGAGTAGCTGGGACTACAGGCGCCCGCCACCTCGCCCGGCTAGTTTTTTTGTACTTTTTTAGTAGAGACGGGGTTTCACTGTATTAGCCAGGATGGTCTTGATCTCCTGACCTCGTGATCCGCCCGTCTCGGCCTCCCAGAGTGCTGGGATTACAGGCTTGAGCCACCGCGCCCGGCCCATCATCATCATTATAACAGCCACCACCACGGCCACCACCACCCCAGGACCCCAGGAAATCAGCAGCAATTCTGGGACTAGATCCAGTGCTCATGCTTCAAAATCTTATGTTCATTTATTTAATGAACACATATTTGTTATGTTTTTTACTAGAACATAACCATCTTCCCAGAATTCCCTTACCATCTTTGTCTCCCTTCCTTTACCTTTCCCCCAAAACCATCGATTAAGATAGAGAGCAAACACCAAGATCAAAGGAATATTTATTACAACATTTATGGACCTAGCTCCTCCAAAAATAAATCCATACAGAGCTGGAAAGTAAGACCATGGTATATACAGAAGGAAAGAACACAGTGTTAAGGCTCAGGAATCAGTTTTGTCTTCAGGGTCCGCATTCTCCCATTTTCCAGTGCACTAACAAGGCTGCTGGGGTTTCCACTGGAGTATAAACAGCAGTGTTCCTTTTGCAGGAACTCTCAGAATTTGGGGGTCCATCACAGGTTCAGCCTATGACCCAGGTCCAAAAGTTCCAGCCTTCTCTGCCACCTCCAGGGCTAGCTTCAGGTTCTGGTCAAAGAGCTCACACCTAAGCCAGGCCCAAGGTGGGAAAAAAAGCGTGAGGCCTGAGGCTTTCTCCCCACTTAAGCCAGGGGAAACTGCTTGAAGAACAACATGTATCATGGAAGGCTGAGGTTGGTGGATGAGCTGAGGTCAGGAGTTTGAGACCAGCCTGGTCAACATGGTGAAACTCTGTCTCTACTAAAAATATAAAAATTAGCTGGGCACGGTGGCGGGCACCTGTAATCCCAGCTACTCTGGAGGCTGAGACAGGAGAATCGCCTGAACCCAGAAGGCAGAGGTTGCAGTGAGCCATGACCGCACCATTGCACTCCAGCCTGGGTGACAAGAGTGAAACTCTGTCTCAAAAACAAACAACAACAAAAACCAAAAAAATGACATAAACCCCAAGGAAAGACTGTTTTCTCTAAAGAGTCACCCAGGCTGGAATGCAGTGGCACAATCTCAGCTCACTGCAACCTCTGCCTCCCAGGTTCAAGTGATTCTCTTGCCTCAGCCTCCAGAGTAGCTGGGATTACAGGTGCACACCACCACACACGGCTAATTTTTGTATTTTCAGTATTTTTAGTAGAGGTGGGGTTTCACCACGTTGACCAA